TGATCACTCCTCCCTTCTGCCAGCATGTGCAGCCATCACTGTGCAATGTAATCCACTCTGATGGGTGTGGTGGCTGTCACTCTGCTCCATTCCCTGATGGCTGCTGAGGCTGACTGCTTTTCACCAGCTTATTTGCCATCTGTATGTCTTTTTCAGGGAAGGGTCCTTACATCATTTGCCCATTTCCAAATATTTTAAACTATTACCCCATATTTACAAATGTTCTAATTCCTTTTACCTATTTTGAATTAAAATATTCCCAACTAAATGACTAATATACACATAATTAAATACATTCATAGCTTATTGCTAAATTCCTTTCAGTTTTCCAACACTTGCATAATTTAGTTAACATTCCACTTTAAAATACCAAATCTAAGTGACATCCTCATTTGAACAATTATCCAGGGGCAAATCTAGCCCTCTCATGGGATGAGTTCCCTTAAATGAGTATGATTCCATTTTAACACAAAACATTGTCAGTGCAGGATTTTCTAATTCGCCTTGCTTGCTGCACACTGAATTTGAGATCCCCCTGGGGTGGAAAGTGCCCACCCTTCAAAACCTGAATGCTGGTTGCCCTAGAGATGTCTACAGGTCCCTAGTGGGACTCACTGGTCCCAGCTTACCACCTACATGGCTCCCCCTGGCATCTGACCTAGCATCCTCACCTAGGCTCTGCATTTCCGTGACCCTTAAGGCAGTAAACATATTTTGTTTTAATCTAGAGATTTTTTTCTTTCACATAGACCCTACGACAAGTCCTTGTTTGCTACCTAAACTGTGTAGTCAGCTGTCATATTCTGTACCTGTGGGGTCTCTGAGAAGACTCCAGAGTTCTCTCTTTTTCATTTGTTTGTTTGTTTGCTTTTTTTGGTACCAGGGATTGAATTCAGGTCCTTGTGCTTGCGAGGTAGGTAGCAGAACCACTGAGCTAAATCCCCAGCCCAGTCCTCTGTTTTTTGGAGTGGGGAGCCGCAGAACACTAGTCTGACAGGGCTCTGTCCAATAATTTTCCCTGACAGTGACAATAGCTGCTCAGGGTTCATCTATACCCTGGCTCCCATCACACAGAGAAGGGTGCTCAGCCAGCCTGGGCCTGAGGCTTAATGGTGGTGGGTGTGTGCGGGGGGACCCCAAGATTGCCACTCCTCTAGGGCCAATCCAGCCTCTCTCACCTCCCATGGACCCACCCAGGGACTCTAGGCTGGATGTCCTTCACCAACCAACTGGAGATGAGCCAGGAGCTGGCTCTGTATACCTGTGTGAGTCCATGCACCTCCCAGTGGCAGCCCAGTGCCAGGTGGCACTGCCCACTCCACCTGCTGGCCAGGATTTACCCTGCATACTCAGCATCACCCCTTTGGAAGGGGGGGCATCCTAAGGATGCATGAGTGGCCATGACACTGCTGGTGCCACACAGGGCCAGACACAAAGCTCCCAAACCTGTCCCTCGGAGCCATCAGCAGAAGTGGTGGCTGGAAGGAACAGACTGTTCATTCAGCAATGCTCATAGGATCACAGGTCACATAAATCATGCAACTCAAAAATATAGTTACGGGGCCAGGGATTTAGCTCAGTGGTTCCGCTGCCTGCCTCACAAGCACAAGGACCTGAGTTTGATCCCTGGTACCCCAAAAAATATATATATATAGTTACAACCATTTTCATTCTCAGTGCAAATTTATCAATGTCCTGCCTTATTCCAGAAAAGGCAAAGTGACTTGCCAAATACATGGAATACAGAAGACAAAATAAAAGTTAAAAAATGAAGGCATGTTATTGGGCATGGTGCCACACAGCTGTAATTCCAGTTCTCGAGACCAGCAAGAGGATCACTGGGCACCTTTGAGACACTGTTTCAAAATAAAGTAAAAAGGGCTGGGATGTAGCTGGGCAGTAGAGCACTTGCCTAGCATGCTGGAGGTCTTGGGTTCAATCCTCAGCACAATTCCCACTCCCCACAAAAACAAATGGGAGTGTATAAGCATACTTCCACTTGGATCCCCAGAGGATTCCCCTGGGACTCCAGTCCCCTATGGACCTTCAGACTGTAGCTTTAAGACTGGGTCCTGCCCTGTTCCTGGACCATCCACTTGGCCCTCTGGTCCTCAGGTGGTTCTTTTGTTCAGTGACACTGTCTCAACCCTGACTGAAGACACATGGACAGGATAGGGGCGTGCTACACTCACTGAGGGCCAAGGGACTAAGATTCCAAGAATGCTGAACACTGAGTATGATCATCAGAAGACAAAGGAAAGGTCTAGATAACAGAAGACACCCAACATCTGCTCAGACACCCTCTGAGCTGCAGCAAGAAGGGAGGAACTGATGGGAGGAAACCCACAGGCCCAGAGCAGCTGCACACATGTCCCCCAAACAGAGAAACAGAAAATGGGCCCAAACCAGATTCTTGGCCAGAGAACTTTAGATGTATGTGTGGGGCAATCTTACAGGCTGGGTGAGGGGTGCAGCTTAGAGGCAGAGCCCTTGCCTAGCATGCAGGAGCTGCTAAATTCAATCTCCAGCACAGAAGAGAGAAAGAAGAAAGGAAAGGAAAAGAAAAAAGACATCTTGAAGGTTCCAGGAGGGAAGAAGCCATGCACAAGCTTGTGGGTGACGGTAGAACTAGAGTGTTGACAACAGTACTGGGTCTGGAGCTGGCTAGGCTGTCTGCTCCTGCACTGGGAGGGGTGCATGCAGACACGAAGCACCCCTTTCTCAAGATGCTCCCAGGAGATGCACTCCCTCCAGACAAGGGGGTAAAACATAAGGCCTCAGGATCAGGGGATGGTCCCAGCACCCCCAGGGTGACAACTGAAACCTCCTGTCCCAGAGGACACCCAGGGAGGAGTGTGAAGGTGCATGGTGCAGAGAGGCATGTACAAAGGACAACACAGCACACAAGGCTTTGTGTGTGTGTGTGCACTGTGGCCCTGGGGACAGAACTCAGGGCTTCATGCTTGCTAGACAGGTGCTCTACACCGCCCCCCCTTAGTATTTTGAGACAAGGTTTCATTATGCAGCCCAGGTTGGCCTTGAATTCAAGATCTTCTTTTCATTTCCACCTCTTGAGTAGGTATCAAAGGTGTGTGCCACTGCACCTGGCCAGTACACCAAGCAGAAACACAGCAAGTCCCCCTTAGCTGCATGACATCTTACCCTCCTGGCCCAGAGACTGGGATGTCCTAGTACAGGGAGGAGGCTGGAAACAAGCAGTAAACCACACAGCAGTAAACCACTATTTATTAATTAAAATTGGAGGTTTAAAAAAAGCCAATATAATTATAGAGGCAACCACTACTCACATTTGAAGGTTTTCCCCCTCTGGAAAGCTGGAATTGGATGTTGGAAGGGTGAGGTGGGAATCAGAAAGTTTCCAGCCTGTGGAGATGGTGCAGATAGAGGAAAGTGTGGCAGTGAGGCTCTAAGATTGGTGCATGCATGTGTAGAAACTCCACAGGACTAAGACTGGGAGAGGACCACAGGGAATGAGTGGGAGCTGGGTTCACATCTGGATGGCAGTACCTGTCCCCTAGGCAGACAGGAAAACCCCAAATTCATGGGAACTGGTAGAGAACTCAGAAGGGCTTTGCCAGGCAGTGGGGAATAATTAGCCCTAGAAAGAACTGATGCTCTGTGACTCTTAAGAAAGCTAAAGACCCAAAGGCAGGGCATGGTGGCACAGGCCTCTAATCCCAGCACTCTGGAAGGCTGAGACAGGAGGATGGCAAGTTAAAGCCCAGACTAGGCAATTTAGTGAAACCTTGTCTCAAAATAAAAAATTTTAAAAGGGCTGGGGATGTAGTTCAATGCAAAGGCTTTGGGTTCGATCTCTAGTACTGGGAGAGGCGGATATACTGGGACTGCAGACTTTTTCCTTCTCTGGGCAGCCCAGAGGCAGAGAACAACACAAATCCCACCTGTCTGGTGTCACCCTACTGGGATGAAGGCAGTCCAGGATGCCACCTAGACCCTTGGTCACTGAGGCTGGAATTCCCACAGCCAAACTCGGTTCTCTCCGATTGGTCCGGCTTCAAAACAAAGGGGAGGGGGGAAACATTTGCTGGGGGCATCCTCTCAGCACTCTGGCAGCCAACTGGTTTATGGGTTCGAGCCTCCCCATCCCGAGTCCTCGGAGCTCCTAAAGTGTGGGGTGGATTCCAAGGATGAGTGACTAAAGGCTCTGAGTCTTCAGACCCGTCGGACAGGCTCCACCGGCTCAGAACCAAGGTCATGGCCGCTGTTCCTCAGCTGCTCCTACTGCTCTTAGTGCACCCTGGTAGCTTGGCGCTGCAGGGTCTGTGCCACTGTCCTTCCTGGGACAGAAGGAGGTCACCGACCCCACTGGCCGGGACTCTGCGCTTGAAGCCGCTCCAAGCCAAGGTGGAACCCTGCTCTGCTCCCCCTAGAGCACCGTGGGCGGTCCGGTCCTTCCCAGGGTTGCCCTGGTTCGCCACAGGCTGTAACTTGAGAGTGACGAGGTCCAGTGTGGCCTGGAGGGCCACGCCAGAGCTCTCCATTCCAGCCAGAGCCGCGAGGCCCCCAGGGATGTCGGGACCTTGGCAGGCCTGACTCTGTTTCAATTTTCGAGCGGGTGTCTGCTCTGCTAAGGGCTTGAAATCCGAAGTTGCCTGGGACCTGAGCGCGGAGCCCCACTACCATGCCATGCTCTGGGAACCTGGACCGAATCCTGTACCCTGCACCCCACACCCAGCACCCCAGGTCTGCACTCTTCTCGGAGCCTCCATCCGCTACAGCTTACTTCTCCTAGCAACGCCGCGCACGGTACCCTGGGGAACGTAGTCCTAGTTGTTCCCTGGCCTGGACCTAGCCGCTCAAGGGCCGCTACACCTTCCAGGGTGCGCGGTAAGTGCCTTCTTTAGCTCGCGAGAACTCGGGGGCCGGATGCATCGGGCGGTCTCTCGCGAGGGACGCCGCGAGTTGTAGTTTCTGGCCAGAAGCTGTGCCCACCGGCTCCCGATGGGGGCGGAGCAGAGACTACAAGTCCCAGGCGTCGTAGCGCGGCCGCCGGCAGGGCGGGGGGTACGAAAGAGGAACCTGCGGGGCTAGGCTGAGTGAGTAACCCGGTCGGGTGGGGCCCTGGGGGGTAGGGGTTACCAGCGGGACAAAGGTCGCTGGGCTGAGGTCGCCCGGACTCGCGGGTGCACCAGAAGCCAGGTGGGAGGGCCGCTCGTCTTGGCATTTGGTCGCGTTCTCGCCCGGGACGGGCGGAGGCGGGCGGAAGGGGAGCGCAGTGCCGCGCGGGTGGAGCAAAGGACAGGGATGGAGGAAGACGGCGCCAGGTGCCCGGAGCCGGGGCGCTCTGCGAGGCGTGGGGCTGGCTTTCTTTGGTCCGTTCTGGTCGCTGAACGATGCAGCCAGCGTGTGATGTTCCACAGCACCCGAGTGGGTGTTCGGTGTGCAGTTTAAGCGCAAATGGTGTGGACACATTTCTTACCGAGTTTTGGCAAATGCAAAGCATTGCTCGAGATCTTTTATAACTGAATTCTTTTTTTTTTGGTACCGGGGGTTGAACTCGGGTTCTTGCGCTTGCAAGGCAGGCCGCGGAACCACTGAGCTAAATCCCCAGCCCTGTAACAATTTTTAACTGCCCAGTCCTATGAAATTTGAAGGTGTAAAAGTTGTTCCTCTCTCGGTTTCCGTTTTTCTTAGTTTTATTGTAGTGTACACAGAAGGCTAAACCGAGGACCCCTCTTTCTCCAAGGTTTGCTTTTGCGATACTTGTGATCACATCCAGGTTCACGTTCATTCAAAACACCCTCTCTACCACTCAGCTGCACTCCGAATTCCAGTCCCTTCTCTACAGCGTTAACCTGCAAACAACGCTGTTGGTCAAGGCTGTAGAGGGAGTTTAATAATCCACCTGATTATTCTGGTTTTTACTTCTAGTTAGCCACTGAGCAGTAGTTTATTTTCAACCCAAATCATTAATAGGCACTTTATTTTTAGAAGTGCATAGAAGGAAATAAAACTGGATTTTGAAGTTTATTTTTTTTCTGACACATCTTGCTGCCAGTATTTTCCCCAAAAGTGTACAGAACAAGTAGATGTTGTGATACCCAAGTCACCTGAGCCATTTGGTTCACAGGCAGCATCCTAGGGACCCCCAAGACATCCCCAGCCCTTCCATGCATTGCCTTGGTTCTCCAAGTTAACTCTTGTTTGCCAGGTAACTCACTTAAAGAAAACCTCTCTGGTCACTACAGCACTGAGGATTCCACATCCTCAAGGGGAGTCATCTGGGTAGGCTCCAGGGTGCCTGGTTCCACTTGGGTAGCACTGAGAGCCCAGATTTATCCTGGTATCTGCCATGAACCTCTACAGACTGGAACATTATCTTTGTATCTAGTCAAATGGTTTTCCGCAAAAGATGAGATTTTTAGATTGAAAGGCATGGGTTCATAAGTCCTGGGTAGTTCTTTCACATCACTGGCTCCTTTGCTTGCTGTGAAGATGACCGCGCTGCCTGCCTGGGTGCCTCACCAAGGCTGGCCATCACCTCCTGCCTCTCCTTTCCTACAGCTGCTAGGAGCTGCAGTTACTGTCAGTGTTGTGTGGGTGGTCCCTGTAGTAGGGTTGTCCTGCCAGCACCCAACCCCTTATGACTGACTAAGGCTAATTTGTTGCTTGAAATGACAGCATCCTGAATGCCTTATGACTTCATTGAAACCAGTTCTTCTAGGGAAAAGGGTAAATTGTGAAACAGCATGTGGGACAGTTTAAATTGCCACTGAATTTTCATTACACTGTAGAATTTCTTTTACCCTGTTATTTAGCTTTTAGGCTCCGATAAAATTTTCAGAATAGAAAATTATTTGCAACCAAAATATTTCATGCACAGGTACAAATTCCCAATGATGAATGAGATCATAATGTGTACCTAAAATGTATCAATAAACAATTAAGAAAAAAAGAAAATGAATTGCATGTTCCAGGAGTTACACAGATCTTGGATGTTGGTTTGGATGAGCCCATTTATCCATGCAACCCACACTCCTGTGAAATGTCCCTTTGTCCCTTGGAGTTGCTCATAAACCTTTCCAGTCCCTTTCCCAGGAAGAGGCAAGCCCTGCAGAGCTCCAGCCACCACCTGCAGTGTAGTGGTGCCACCCCATAATATGCCTCTGCCTTCTGCTCTGCCGTCTGTGCTTGAGGTGCCAAAGTAGTGGGTTTCTAGTGTTTGTGACTAAAGATGGTGTGCCCACTTTGGGACATGTCTTTTGTAAGCGTATACTTTCATTTCTCCTGGGAAAATACCCAGAGAGACTGCCATAGCCAGGTAGTTCTGAGGTGTGCTCCTACATGAAGAGGCAGGGCAGTGACCTGGAGTGGACAGTGCTGAGTGCGCCTCCTTTGTATTATCTGTTCAGATTATCTCTTGTGGTGTCTGATCAAGTCTTCGGTCCATTTTTTTTTTGGTACTGGGGATTAAACTTGGGTCCTTACACTTGTGAGGCAGGTGGTGGAACCACTGAGCTAAATCCCCAGCCCTTTCTGTCCATTTTTTTAGTTGCTTGTTTGTGAAGTCCCTTATATACTCTGGATACAGGCTTTTGTCAGGTCTGTGTGTTGGAGATATTACTCCCGTTCTTTGAATGCCTATTCATGTCATTTTTTTTTTAATAGGAATCGAACTCAGGACATTGCACCTGTGAGGTGGATGCTCTTCCACTGAGCTAAATCCCTGGCTGTCTATTCATGTCATTAATGGTGTGTTTAATTTTTTTTTTGTTTACTTGTAATACTTTTAGATTTACAGAAATGTTGCCTACTTTTCCGGTAGCAGTACTGTACCCAAACATATACTCATCAGCTAAGGCGCAGCTGGGCAGCAACTGCAGGGAAGCCCCAGGTTTTGTTTCCTTCTACAGGACCTCAGGCTACATTTGGTTGTTACATCTCCTCAGGCTCCCTTGGGATGTGGCAGCATCTCAGACCTTCCCTGTTCTAAGGAAGATTGATCAGGTTTCATAGGTTTTCCCTCAGTTTGAATTGTCTGGTGTGTTTTCTCATAGATGTACTGGGCTTTGGGTTCCTGGAAGGGTTACCATGGGTGATCTTGTCAGGTGCCAGCCCATCACATCCCATCAGGGCATCCCTGGTGGCCATGTGATACTCCAGTCCCCTGATCACACCCTGGGGATAGTGACTGGATACTTAGCCAAGGTGATGTCTGCACATGTGCACTGCACAGTTGTCCCTTTCCCCGTCCCTCCTTTCTGGAAGCAAGTCATTGACCAGACCACCCTGGGGACAGGTGTGTACCTGTGCTATCTGGGATTCTTTGGTAAGGTGTGTTTCTCCTCCTCATGTATCTGCCCTTCAGCCACTTGGCTGATATCACTGTAGATAGTGGCTCTGTGCTGGGCTGTGATTCAGAGCTGTGCTGTTTATTCTGCTGCTTATGTTCCTCTGGCTTTGGTACTGGAGTGCCTTTTTTGGATCCTGTGTTTCTTTTTTCTTTCTTTTTTCCAGTATTTCTTTGACCTGCCTCCATTCCTTTGTTTTTTGAGGCTTTCCTTTCTTCCTAGCATTATCATTTTCTGCCCCAGCCCTGGGGTCAGCCACTTCTCCAAGAAAACCTAGTTTCTGTGATTGACTGGAGAATGATCTTGGAAACCAGGATCTGGACCTGAGTATTCTTGTGGCCATTGGAATGTTATTCCTTCTAGGACCTCTCAGTGGACAGAGCTAGCCTATGTGCATATGTGTGTGTGTGTGTGTGTGTGTGTGTGTGTGTGTGTGTGTCTGTGTCTGTCTGTCTGTCGCCTGAATGTGCTTATCTGTACCTTTCACTGTCGTGATGAGAACCTGCTCCCACCATCTGCTGTTCACCTATGTATTTGTTAGACCCAGTGCGCATGGAACACAGTTTCAGAAGCAAATTTGCCAACTAGGATACAGAGTGTCCCCCACCACTGAGGATTAAACTCAGCCTCGTGCATGCTGGGCAAGCATTCTACCCCTGAGCTACATTGCCAGGCCTTTCATCTTGAGACAGGATCTCAGTAAATTGCCCAGGCTGGCCTCAAAATTGTGATCCTCCTGTTTCAGCTGGGATTCCAGTCATGCGTCACCACACCCAGCTGAGCAGAGTTTTTTTTAATTTAAATGAATTTAAATTTATCAATTGTTTCTCTTCCTCCAGTGAACTTTCTGTGTCCTGTCCAAGGATCTTTAACCAGCTGGGCATGGTGGTGCACTCCTATAATCCCAGCACTGGGGAGGCAGAGGCAGGAGGATTGTCATGAGTTCAAGTCAGCCTGGGCTTCATAGTGAGTTCAAAGGCAGCCTGCACTACAAAGTGAGACCCTATCTCAAAAAACAAAGCAACGACAATAAAAATTTTTGTTCAACTCAAAGTCATGAAAATATTCTCCTTTGTTTCCTTTTACAAACTTTCTAGATTTGGTGTTTCCATTTAGCCACATAATCTATCTTATTTAGTTTTTCCTGCAATGTGAGATGAGATCGTCCATTTATTGCAAAGGCTTTCCCTCTCCACTGATTCACTTTGGCATCTTGTTGAAAACCATCAGCGAAGGTCTCTTTCTGGTTCTCTGCTCTGTCTCACTGACATGTTGCTTATCTCCTCATCTGTCTAGACTGAATTATAATCTTGAAGTCAGAAGTGTTTCCTCCATCTTTTAAAAAACCATCTTGGTTGGGCATGGGATTTAGCTCAGTGGCACCAAAACTGTCTCGCAAGCACAACAAGGTCCTGAGTTCCATCACCAGTACCAAAAAAAAAAACAAAAAACAAAAAACAAACCCCACCTTGGCTATTTGAGGTTCTTTGCATTTTCATATAACTTTTGAATTGTAACTTTGAATCAACTTAGTTCCTCAAAAAGAAGACTGCTGAAACTTTCACTGGGATTAATTTTAGGGGAATTTGTACCTTAACAATATTGAATGCTTTAATCCATTAACACAGTAAGGTTTTATATTATTTGGATATTTCATTTCTCTCAAAAACGTATAATTTTAATGAGCAGGTCTTGTACATTTTTAATGAAATTTATTGGTAGCTATTGCTTGCTTGATCAATCGATTGATTGATTGATTGAGATGGGGTCTTGCTATGTAGTTCAGTCAGGCCTTGAACTCACTGTGAAGCACAGGTTGTCCTCTGACACAGTGATCTTCCTGCCTCTGCCTCCCCAGTGCTGGGATTACAGACATGTGCCGACATACCCGGCTAGAAGTATGATTTCTTGGGCCAGGGATTTAGCTCAGTGGTTCCGCCTTCTGCCTCACAAGCACAAGATCCCAAGTTCAGTCCCTGGTACCAAAAAAGAAAAAAAAAAAAAAAAAAAAAAAAAAAAAAAGAAAAGAAAAGAAAAGAAATATGATTTTTAGAAATACGATTTCTTATATTGACTTTATATTCTTGAAACATTGCCAGATTTGATTATATGATATTTTGGGGATTTCTTGTTTGTTTGTTTTTTTGTTTTTGGTAGATTCCCTAGGATTTACCTTGAAAATAATCATATCATCAGATTGGAGACAGTTTGACTTCTTCCTTTCTTATTTTTATGGCTTTGTTTTCTTTATTGTACTGGCTAGAATCTATAGGACAGTGGTAATTGCCACATTAATAAAGGGAAAAATCCATATGATCATTCCAATATATGTAGAAAAGGCATTTGAGAACATTTAAAATCTTTTTATGATTAAAAAACTCTTGACAAAGTAGGAATAGAAGCAAACTGTGAACCTGATAAAAAGCATCTGTGAAAAACCTATGCCATAGTGCCAGGAATGTAGTGCCTATCTTGCAAGCCAAGGTCCTGAGTTCGATTCCCAGGATGGGATGTGGGGAAACCTACACTGTACTTTGCACTACACTGAGCGCTTTACCCCTGAAGTGAAGAATGGGGAGGACAACTGCTTTCAGCACTTCTACTCAGGTGTGCTGCTGAGTGCACACGAGCCGCAGGAGGGAAGCAGAGTACATCATAAAGACTGGGGAAGAAAAAGTAAAACTGCACTTATTTGCAGATGACAAGATTATATAGAAGACCCTAAGAAATCTAATAATAATCCTGGAGCTATTAAGTGATTTTATAAGAAATTAATCTGCAAAAATGAACTGTTTTGTTACATATAGCAGCAAGCTACTAGAAAATGAAATCAGAAATTCCTTTTTGTTTACAGTGATACCAAAAAATAGGTTAACAAAAAATATACCAGTGGCTAATGACTGGGAAATGCAGATAACAAGAACAATGCTGCTGCACACCCACCAATTAGCACCAAGTCTTAGCAAGGATGCAAACAACTGACCTCTCCTGCCAGTCTCATGGGAAGGTGAAGTGGACCCACTGTGGAACACAGTTTGGCAACATCAGAAAGTTAAACATACAGCACTCCTCCCTAAGTTCCAGCCATTCCACTCCTGGGTATTTACCTGAGCGAAATGAAACACATCCATACAAGTAAATGTGCGAGGGTGTCTATATCGACTTTATTCATAGTCACCAAACATCAGAATCAGCCCAGATAGCCATCAGCAGGTGATGAGTACAGAAAATCAAGTATATCCACACAATGGAAGGCCATTTAGTTGGAAAAAAGGGTACAGATCAGCTATACAGTGCATCTGAAGATTGTGACACTGCTGAAAGGAGCCAGACACAAAGGTGTACATACTGTGTGATCCACTTAAAGGAAATTCTGTAAGGCAGAGATTTGCAATGATACAGTCAGCTAGCTCAGTGGATGCTTGAGGCCAAGGACTGAGGGAGGAGGGACCACAGAGGGCTTGGTTTTGGTGGCTAGCGGCTTCGTGGGTGAATAATTTGACAACTTCCTGGGTTATGGACCATAAATGGGTGTGGTTTATGGTATGTAAATCGTGCCTCAGTAAAGTTGATCAAGTAGTAGATGGAAGTATTGTCTGAAATCTTGAACTTCAGATTCTTTTTTGGGGGGTGGTGTTTGAGACAGGTCTCACTATGTAGTTGACACTGCCCTGGAACTCACTATGTAGCCCAAGCTGGTCTCAAACTCACAGGGATCATCCTGCCTCAGCCTCCTGAGTGCTGGGATTACAGGTGTGCACCACCACGCCAGGATGGACTTCAGATTCTTTTTTTTTTTTTTTTTTTTTTTTTTTGGTACCGGGGATTGAACTTGGGTCCTTGTGCTTGTAAGGCGGCCACCGAAAACCACTGAGGTAAATCCCCGGCAGGCTTCAGATTCTTTTAGTGACTTGACCTGGCCCTGGGATTCCCCTTCCTAGAAAGTGAGCCAGACACCAGGAATTTTCTCCAGGCAGGGGAAAGCAAATATCAAATAGACAAAAAGAAGGGATTTGCTTATACCTTGTGGGTAAGGAGTGGCCTCTGCTGTGATTTTGTGTGTCCTTGCATGGGGGAAGGGGAGCATGCATTTTTTGTGGGGGTGGATAGTTGAAACTCCTCCAGAAAGGCTGTTCCCTTCAGGGCAGATTTCCTGCAGGCCTGGGAGGCACCTCCCAACTCTGGGTACTGTCACTACCTACAACCCTGGGCTGAATCTCTATAAGGTCAGTGGCAGGACACTCCCCAACACTCCCACTCCCAGCTGAGGGGCAAGATCCTGAGTCCCTCTGAACATTCACATCAGAGCCTCTAGATTCCACATCCTCTCCAAGAACCTAGTTCCTGTTCCCCACCCCAGACTGAAACATCTGTATTCTTTCTGGGACTAGCCGGGAGCAGGCAGGACGCTGCTGCTGAAGTCTGTGCTCAGAGCTGAGACACCTGGCATAGCTGTTTCCACGCTGCAGTTGCCTTCGCCCAGGAAAAGTCACATTAGAGGTAACTTTTGTGTTGAAGTATTGACCCAGCTGTGTTGGGGCAGACATTGAGTTTTGCCTTTTGAGTTAATGGTTGTTAAAAATTGTACAAATGATACTAAGCCTTTAGGCGGGTGCAGGCTTATCTTTCATTGTGTTAGAAACGTGGTGGGCATGAAGCCCTATGGGCTCCCAGCACGAAATATCTGAGCCTTAAGAAGTCTGCTCCCAGGGGGCCAGGGATTTAGCTCAGTGGTTCCGCTGCCTGCCTTGCAAGTTCAGTCTTTGGTACCAAAAAACAAAACAAAACTGTATTGAGAAGTCTGTTCCCAGTGTGCAATTCCAGTTGGCCTACCCTCTGGATCTCCCCATGATTAGAGTTTTTAAAGCTCTGTATCACTGGGGCCATGGTTTTGGATACTTAACTCTTGTGGCTCAGAGCTATGAAGGCGGAACACTAACCCTGAAAGTCCCAGTCCACTCCAAGGCCCTGGCCACTTAGTGGGAGACTGACTTTGGGAGACCATGCTCATGATGTGAGCAGAGTCTGACCAGAACAGGTTAGCATCTGCAAACTGGAGATCAGGGGCCCAAATGGCCTTGCATCTAGGACCCGGACCTGGCAGAGTTGTTGGAGAGTGCTCCAGACTGTCCTTTGCTGGGCTGTAGACCCTCCCTGCCAGGAAGTTGACCTCCCAGTGACTAGCAGCCGTAGTCTCTTGACTGGCCTACTGCTCACAAGGGTCAGGTCCATGAGCTCCATGTGACCCAGCAGCCCCAGCCGTGCTGAACAGTGACTGCCCTGAAGCCTGAGCCGATGTCTGCAGCTCTTACCCTGGAGGGGCAGGTAAGAGCCCCTCGAACTGACCTGCACCCACTGCTCCAGGAGGCCTGGGAGCAGCTGACCTGCAAACTCACCCTGCCCTCTGCTAGGCTCTGCCTTCTCCCTGCTTCACTCCACCCTTTTGGGCAACCAATTCCCAATAAAGCCCCGTCCTCTTCATGCTGAGGCACCATCCCTCCATTGCAGGCCCCCCACGAGACCCCTTCTGGATTGCTCCCTCCCACTCTACCCTTTGCTGCCCTCTTTCCCCTCTCTTGCACAGACCCTGCTGTCCTCTAGCTCCCTGGAATGGCCCTGCAGTGCCTCGCTCTCCTGGCTGGCCTTCTGGTGGGAGTCGCCAGCACATCCACAGAAAGCAAGGTTGGTGCCCCTGTCCCATGAGCATATGGCCAGTAACTGGAAGTTAAACTGGAGTTTCACCCTTGGCCCAGGAGGCCCCTGATGCTCATCCCCAGGGATCCAGATAAAGCTACGGAGTGGCTCTGCAGCTGTTCTGCCCTGCCTCCCAGAAGTTTCTCTGCTAACCTCTCTGTTGCTGTAGCTGACTGAAGCTCCCTGTGGCATCTCTTTGCTGCTTGAAGGACAGTAGTGGTGGCTGGTGGTGTCCTCACAGCGGAGCATCCTGGCTCCCCCGCAGGAGTGATACTCCAGTATGCTGTGGTATCTGGAAGGGCTGATGCCAGCAGCTCTGGACCCTGAGCCAGGATCAGGTGGGGGCCACATAGACTGGGATGGCTGGAGGATTAGGGTACTGCTCCCTGACTTGACCACAGCTAACTTGAGGGATAGCCATGCAATGGGTACGGCCTCTCTTATGGCGATGTAGACCCTCCCTGCACCCCTCGATCTCCCCTTACATACCCCTCATGATCCACCAAGCTCACACCACAGGAAACGGAACCCCAGCTGTGATGATCCCATAGCACTCTGGGGACGTCCCGCCCCACCTGAGAGCTATGCAGCCCTCCTGTGTTGGTGAACAGGCTTTCATATTTGCAAATGCTATGTAGCACTTGTCACATGTGCAGTATGTGAGGAGGTGGGGCAGGGGTGTGACTCCACCTCCCTGAGACTGGCCTGGTCCAGGTACTTCTTGGGACCAAGCTACAAGCCCTATACACTTGCAGAGAACCATAGGGAAGCCCCCAGCAGCTGTGGGGTATTTCAGAAACCTTTGGCAGGAATGCAGGGAAGGTGCTTGGTCCCCTCTTCCCAATGTGTTTACATTTCCTTATCATCTATAAAAATATGTGTCTTTCCCATGAAGGAGTTTCTAGAGTTGACCCTGCAGTGGAGCGGAACAGCATGTTTTAGTAGGTGACTAATACAAATGATTTCACTGATTGATAATTTCACCAACTACAATGTTCCCACCCTCTGATTACATGTGGCCCAGAGAGGCAGAGGCTGGCGAGCTCTATGTAGAACAGGGAGACCATGTAGAGAGTGGCCTCGGCTGCTACCACCTCCTTATCAAGGCCTTGAGGGACAGAGAAAGGAGACCCTACTGACCACAGGATACCTACTGCCCAGGAGGGCTCAACATTCCTTGCCCCACGTCGGCGAAGAGAAATTTGTTTTTTCTTTTGTTTTGGTACTGGGGATCAAACTCAGGACCTTGAGCTTGCCAGGCAGATGCTGTCTTGCTGAGCTAAATCCTCAGCCTTGAGAAATTTGTTTTCTTCAGCTACTACAAAGTTCATGGCTGAGGCTCCTATAATAACAGGCAAATTAATAAGAGAAAAGCACATTGATGTGACATGGGAGCCTCCGTATAGAGTGGAAACCAGGGCTGGAGATTTAGCTTTGGTTCTACTGCCTGCCTCGCAAGTTCAAGGTCCCAAGTTTGGTCCCTGGTACCAAAAGAATGGAGATCATAGAAATGAACATGTGTGTGATAGCCAGGCTTGAGGAGGAGGAACAGTCCTGGTCTTGAAAGGAGCCCTGGTCAGCCATTAGCTGAGGCTCTTTCCTGTGTTCCTTTCTTCTACAATATGGGCCTTCCTGTCCTCAGGCTGGGGAAGACATGTCTTCCATGAGAGCCTTATGGATGCTTGAGAGCTGAAAATACGAGTTCAGAGAGACCTGTTTCTGTGTTCTCAAGTACCGAAGTGGTATATTTTGGGGTTGTGTATTCAGAACCCCATTTCCCCTGCAGCCAGGATGCAGTTCAGAGTCCTGTGGCTGTTTCAGAATACACCAGATGGGTCCCAGCGTTATACTGTTGATTCCTCAGATGCTCACTGGCCACAGCCCTGCATAGCTCAGACACAGTGCTGCCCACTGCACTTGAGGGGCCCCATGGAAAGGACAGGGCAGAGACTCCTGTGCTGTGACCAGACTGAGTCCAGGTATCACAAGGATCTCTCCAAGCAGGCTCAGCCTCAGCTCTGCCTACATCAGCACTTTTCCAGCTTTGGTTCTTTTTATCCAGGATTGAGCTTTTCCCTAGAGTGCCACACAGGGGATCAGCAGGGTGGGCTTCTGTGCCAACAGGGCCAGGAGTCACTTGGTGCTGACTCTGGGGGAGGCAGGTTGTGGGTATTGAGTTGTGTGCAGGGAGCCACCTTGCCTTGGCTGCCCTCAGTCTCACCACTGTCTCCTCTCCAGGCCCAGCAGCCAGAGTGTTGTGTGGATGTGGTGGACATCAATGCTACCTGCCCCGGCACAAACCTGTGTGGCCCAGGTAAGCCACTTTGTCATGGGCAGACACAAGATCAGTGACCAAGCCACCAGTGCCCACATGTGTGACCCTGCCTGCCTGCCCCTTTTGGGTGAGCAGCACAGAAACAGTGCTGGGCAAAAGAGCCCAACTGAGCTTCCTGCTGGTAATCTGGTGAAGCCAACTAGGGCAGTATGGGGAGCGGGGAGGACCCAAACCAGATCATGCCAGGGCCACCGTCTCTTTCTGCTGTCCAGTGATATTCCTATCTCTGCAGTGATATTCCTGTCTCTGCAGGGAACAAGGCCCTCATTTGAGGCAGGGTATTGCTCTGGGCTGTTGTGGACTCAGGCTGGAGTGGCTCAGTACCATCATTTCAGTAAGGGAGGCCTGAGCACCCCCATCCTGGGGTCCATCACACCCTCGAAGGAAAGAGGGCATGAACCCAGAGTGGCTGCTCATGGGGTAACTGTGCCCTGAGGACGCTGACCAGCTGCCATGGGAGGAGGGTGTGACTAAGACATGGAGGCCGTGATGGAGCCTGTGGAAGGAGAGGCCAGGGCTGGGCATCTGGGCCTTGATTGGCAGGAAGGCAGCACTGCGGGCTGAGTGGAGTGGGAATCCTGGGAGGGTGTGAGGTTGAGCAACTCTGGGCACAGCATGCAAGGCCACCGCCAGCTCTCTGGCCCTGCTTTCTCCCTGCCAGTAGCCCAGTTGCTTCTCAGCACAGGAACAGCTGAAGGGAAGCTTCCAGGGAGGTTCTTGGTGTTAACACTGTGTTCTGTGTCATGGACCTCACTGGATTCCTTGGCCTCCTGGGGAAGGTCTTCCCAGGGTCCCTCCAGAGGTCCTCCCAGGGGTCCACCCTTGCCTCACAGGGCTGGGGTAGGCAGTTGCTCAGGATGACCATTCTGATACAGCTCCATGTCAGGGTACACAGCTCAACCCAGGTGGAGAAACCAAGTGCCTCGTACCAGAGACCCCTGGTTCCAGTTAAGTTCCAGTCCCCTGTCCAGTATACAATGCAGGCCTGAGAAATAAAACTGAAAGTCAGAACTAGGAGAGAGAGAGCGGGGTGCCAGGATGACCAATGCCAGTGCAGCCAACAAAGGCTCTGGACAGTCCCAGGCACTGACTTTTTTTTTTTTCTTCCCTTTTCTTTTCTTGGTTCTGGGGATTAAATTCAGGACCTTGTGCTTGCAAGGCAGGTGGTGGCACCTCTGAGCTAAATCCCTGGCCTGGCACTGACTTTTTTTAAAATTAATTTTATTGGTACATTTAAGGTATACAATGTAATGACATTCATCATTAGAAATTTACACCTTTATATAAGCTGTCTTGGTTCTTATTTTTTCTGGCACTGACTTTTTTGGCAATCAGGTTAAAGGCAAGCTACGAGTGGTTTCTATGGAAATTCATAAAAGACAAGATAAAGCATTCTTGAATTGGGAACAGAATAGACAAAATCTGTGGTTGTAAATTAGAATATTGTCCTTCTAGTCTGAAGGTTTTAGTTGTGGGAACGGAGTTTGGGTTTGAGTTACTCTGACCTCAGTGTTTAGGGCTTCGGCTGGACTCACTCTTCACAGCCTCCTTTGGGCATAATCAGTATTATGGTCCTCTGCACCTGGAATCCTCCAGCTCTGTGCATTTGTTCCCAGTGTTGCTAGAGCTGCCCTGTGCTGATGTCCCTCTCAGGCCCCTGTCCACTGGTGTCACACTACCTGTTGCCACAGAAGACCATCGTCTCACCGAGGCATATTTGTTTAGTCTAAATGTCCATGAAGTTCAGTATGAAAGGCCTGTAGCCTGTGGTTTAGTCCCAAGTACTACACAGGTTCCAGGGTCAGCTTTTAGTGTTCACAGTCCATATTTCTGGAGCATGCATCTGCCCAGCCTGTGCTGTTAAGGATGTTGGAAAGAAGTAAAGGTGTAAGATTCAATCTCTGTCCTCAAAGGAAGCTGGAAGACTGCTGTCCACCAGTCACTAGCCAGCAAGAACCAGGTGGTTCCTCGCAGCCGGGCAGGGAGAGAACAAGTTCTAGGTGGCAGTCTGGGATGGAAATATGGCTTGTTCCTACAGGGATCCCCTGAAAGCGCCCCTGGGGATGGTGCAAGGGTGATGGATCCAGGTTGTGCATACCCCACGTGGAGGCCAAGGGAGGGTGCACAGTGCTCATGGCAGCAGTGTCCATACCTTGGAGGTGGTCTTGGGGAGGTGTCATGGGTGAGGCACGAGATAAAGGCCAGGCCTTCAGTCCCCAGTGGTGAGGCCATGACACAGCCCTGTAACTGGGTGCCCATCACCATCCTCTCTGAATTGCCTCCTGTAGTGATCAGAAGGACCTGGGCTCTTCCACAGCAGGAGGCTGGGTGAAGGCAAGATGCCCTTCTGTTGAGCTTTTATTTTTATTTTTTGGAATCTGAATCAGTTCTGCCCAAACTTGCAACATATTGGTGTTCTTTTTTGGGGGCAGGGAGTACCGGGGATCAAACTTGGGTCCTTGAGCTTGCAAGGCAGGTGGCAGAACTGAGCTAAATCCCCATCCTCATATTGGTGTTCTTGAAGGAAGGTTGTAAGACAAACTTGAGGTACAGAAAATCTCATGGGAGACTCTTAGCTGGCCTGGATTGCTTTCCTGAGAGACACTGTCCTCCCCACTGCAGGCTGCTATAGGCATTGGAATGCAGATGGGAGCATCAGCTGTGTGCGGTGCAGGAATGAGACCTTCCCAGCCTACAATGCCTCGGAGTGCAGAAGCTGTAGGTCTCCATGCTGATGCTCTACTGACCCTCCGTCTTCCCCTGCTTCTCACAGGGTCTCACACCTCTAGTCTGGGGAGACTTGGTCACCACTGTCCTTGTCCCCCAGCGGTAGGGGCCCACCTTGCCCAGGAGCACTGTCCACTAGTAGACAGCTCCTGGAACTCCCTCCTGAGTCCTCCAGCCACTGGGGCAGCTGTGGGCTGAGGACTGCTCTGCCCATGGCCACCTTGTTGCCCCTTAGGTGGGGTGGGGTGGTCCATGCGGGATCCCCCTCCCCTCAGCTCTACTCTCCCACAGTCACTGGCCGGGGTACTCAGTTTCCCATGAACAGGAGCACAGGGACTTCTGGCCGGCCACATTTTGGTGAGTCTCTCAATGCCCCAGACCTGAGCCAGGCCTCTGCCTGGTGTCTTGGGGGTGGAAGGGAATATTAGGGCTTTTGCCGGGATAGGTCTAGGTCAGCCTCAGGCCCAGCTATGAGCTGTGTGGCAGGAACCCTGATCACTGTGAGGGTAGCAGAGTCCTGCAAAGCAGGGTGGAGTCACTTGGCTTAGGTAGGGGCACATGTTGGGGGTAGCATTGATAGAGAGGTGCCATACCCCTGTGATTGCCTCAGAGGCTGCAGTGTGCGATTGACTGTTGCATGTTCATACTTGGCCCTTGCCTCAATCCTAGTTGGCCCTAGCTCCCAGCAAGTGTTCTGGGGAATGGAGGCTACCCTGAGGGCTCCATTGCCCCAAATGGCTCCTCTGAGGTATAGGCCTCAGAGAGATGTTGCACCATGCAGAAATGCTTGCTACACTGCCTGCCCTGCCCTGGGAGAGACAAGTCCTGGGCTTATAGTCCTACCTGAGATGAAGGCTTAGAAGGCAGGGAGGAGGGCATGGCCTAGTAAAAGTGTCTGGAGGCCATGCCCTGGTAGGCAGGATGCAGCCTGATGGGTAAATGCACCTGGGCCAGGAGTGCAACTGGCAGAGGAGGCTGGCACGGGGACTGGGATTGGGGCTCACAGAGGGCTGGGCACCCAGGCAGAGGGGCATTACAGTCTGGGAGAGAAGTACCCTACTCCAGTGCACAGCTGCTTCCTCTACAGAGGGGGCTCATTTGCTATGGGGGACCCTTACTGTCCAGCACAGTACTGAACTGGATTGTGGGGCTTGGAGTTCTCATCTGAGGAGCTCAGCTTGCCACTCACCTCACCAGAAAGTACACTTGAGCTCTAGAGAGCCCCATGCCCTGCACTGACGAGGTTGAAGCCAGCTGCACAAGACAGGCTGGTTCCTGGCCCCCTGGCACAGTGCCAGCCAGGTGGAGTAAGGCACAAGTCTGATGGGTGCACCTGTGTCTCAGAGTAAAAAAGCACCTCCCCAGCTGGCAGTGACTGGCAATGCCCCAGCCTGTCCTGGCTCTAGGCAAGTAAAGATCGGGGGGAGGTTCCAGGCAGCTGAGAGGTGAATTTGCCAAGGGGTGTGGAGAGCCTAGGGCTGGTTGTGTCTGGAGTTAGCAAAGGGGCTTGCTTCTTCTCCCCCTCTCCACCTCAAGAAGTCTGGGCCAGGAGAGCAGGGCAGCATCCTCAGGCCCGTCACCAGTGTGCTGGGCCTTCAGAGGTGACCAGAAGGGAACAGAGGCTCCCAGGGGATTAGCAGGGGACCCTGGGTACCCCAGACTCCCCAGGGCTGGCTGTTGGTTTGCCACAGGAGCTCCGCAAGTGGCTATCTCCCTCTTCCTGGGAACATTCTTCATCAGCATGGGGCTCATCCTCTCTGTGGCGGGGTTCTTTTATCTCAAGCGCTCCAGTAAGCTTCCCAGGATCTTCTACAGGAGTGATAAAGGTACTTTGCAGTTGTCCAACCAACAGTGTGCTGCTGGGACCTGGCCCACTCGAGGGGTGGTTGATGCCCAAGGGCACAGTTCAGGTCCTAATGCCCCTCTCTGCCCACCCCCAGCCTGCACTAGGTGCCCTACAGTCCTGAGAACCTGAGGTGGCCTCAGGCCAGTGCTACTCAAGACAAGTACTTCAGAATCACTTCTGGGTGGCCTTGGCTCAGCTGGCCATGGCAAGTCCCGCACCTGTGCCCTCCCAGTATCTCTGCCTCCCTAGTAACCTTGCAGCATATCAGGCACTGGGTATGGCTGGCCCTGGTGGCTACAGGACAGGGAAATGAGATGGGTCAGAGCATCTCAGTGCACTCCGAGGGCCCTGGGTGCCACCTGGGGCAGAGACCACCGGAGGGAATTCCCTCCCTAGGGTCCTGTCATGGCAGCTAGAGAAGCGACCTTCCCTGCTTATCTGCCTTGCTGGGAAGCAGGAGAAGGGGTCTAGAACAAGTGGCTCTCCCTGGGGCACTGGGAGGTGCAGCGAGCAGCAGCCAGGCTGCAGGAGCAAGGGAAGGTGGACTTGCTAGGCCCCGGGCCTGGGAGAGCCACTGCCTACCCTTGTCAGGACTGACATGTGTTTCCTTCCCCAGCACCAGCCCTGCAGCCCAGCGAAGCCGTAAGTACTCCCGCTGCCTGGGGAGCATCCTGGGCCACACACTGCCTACCTCTCACACTGCCTTTCTCTCCTTTTTAAGGCTGTGATGATCCCTGCGGCCCAGTCCTCAGGTAAAGACAGCACCACACCAGTGTCCACATGTCCACACAGGCACTTCAGGGGTTTGTGTCTCTGGGGTTGCAGATGCCCCCATGGGTCCCCAGGAATCTGTACCCAACTCAGGAACAGGGACAAACGCTCGTTAGGTGTCCTACTACCACCTGCCCCCTGGCTTGCACACTGTCTACCCTTGTCCTTAGGCTGGGCCAGAGAGAGGGGAATCCAGCACTGGCCAGACCCTCCCTGGCCATGCTCCAGCCCCACTCAGGATAAACTCTGTCTGCAAGGTGCAAAGTGTAGGTATGACCCTGGACCTTGTCCTACCAGGTACCCCCACGCGGGTGTGACCCACTGTAGAAGAGGCTATGGCTGCAGATTAGGTGATTGACCTGTTGTCACAGCACTGTTGAATCACCCAGCCTCCTTCCCCAGCTTGTGGTCTTCCCACTGTACAGAGGTCTGGTGTGGGGACCAGGGGAGGGCCAAAGCAATGCCTGATCAAGACTAGACCTGCCCTTGTGCTGGAGATGTAGCTCAGTGGCACCATGCCTGCTTGGCAAGTGCAAGGTCCTGAGTTTTATTCCCAGTACGGGGGGAAAAAAAACCCCAAACAAAGACTAGACCTGCCCTGTTCCAAACAGCACTTGTCCCAGTTCTCTGAGCCTCAGCCACAGGTGCCTCTGGTGACACAGAGGCCCACCACAGCCTGAGGCTAGCTAGGTAGGCAGGCAGACTTAACAAGTTGATCCTCTGACAGTTATGAGGCCAGAAGTTAGAAATCAAGGTGCTGAGGGGACCCCTGGCTCTGAGGCTCTGGGGTCCCTCCCCCACCTCCAGCTTCTGCTCTTCATCTCAGTTTTTCCGCTCTGCCCTCTACCTCCCTCTGAGGACATTGGCCACTGGGCTTAGGGTGATCTGACAGCCTAACTTAGTCACAGCTGTCTTCTAAGTGAGGCACATTCATAGGCTCTGGGGCTCAAGACATGGCCATATCTTTAGTGGGGGCCCCCTCCTGCCCTCTACCATGCACCTTGCAGATGTGGGCTGTGTCTTAAGGGACAGCAGGGCTGGCCCAGGCCTAGGTTATTGTGTGCAGAGCCTGGGGCTCCAAGGAGCATGTGTTGGAGGAGCCGTCGTGCACACAGGTGGGGACTGGTGGGATCTCTGGGCAGGGAGCCTCCAGTTCTCCCTGGTCAGGGTAAACAGGCACATGCTAACCCTAACCTGCAATGGCCCACCGTACTCCCCAGAACCCTGGAGCAGACCCAGCCCTGGCTTGTTCCTGGCTCTTACCCAACTTGTTTTTTACCCTGTTCCAGTGCGAAAGCCTAGATATGTGAGGCGTGAAAGGCCCCCAGACAGGGCCCTGGACACCTCTGCCTTCTCTGCGGTGGATGCCCGCATCAGCAATGTCTGACTCAGAGGCCAGCTGAGACCCCACCTCCCTGTACCCTGGAGCCTGGGGCTGCCTGGATGAGCTAGCAGAGGACCGCGTCACCTGGGGCCTGGGACAGGCCAAGTGTGGCTCCCACTGACCAGCTGAGCAGTCCTTTTGTCCCTCGCATGCTGATCAGCTAACGAACCAGGCACTTGGAAGCAAAGGGGTAGGGTACAAGCCTTCAGGAGACAGCCAAAATTCAGGACCAGCTTGGCCTGCAGGTGCCCCTCAGAAGGGTGGGGAGGCCCCTGCCTTGAGCCTGTGACAGGCAGGGCTCTTACACCCGAGCCAAGGAGCCTCACAAACCCCTCTAAGGGGAGTGAAGCCAAGGCTCAGCCATCAGGGAAGACATGGTCCCCTGGGGCTGAGGCACCTCAGAGTGAACTGCCCCATGGTGGCCCAGACTGCACACCAGGGCTGCTTGTCTCCAGGTGTTCCCTAGCTTTGCGTTGGCATCTCATTGTTGAACAGAAGAGGCCAAGGTGCTGCTATACTCAGCCCGGGTCTTCAGCCCAGGCTGGGCAGACCGTCATTCACAGGGGAAGACTGTAGCCAGCACAGACATTCATGTTGGGTACCCACAATGATGTGTCCATCCATGGGCTCCACCCCTGAAGCCATAGGTTACTGGCCTCACTGGGCTGCCAAGGGTGTGTCAGCTGGTGGCCCTTGTCCAGTGCCACTGGATGTGGGTTGCTATGGAGGACGTTTCTTGGCGGCTACCTCCTTTGTGCTGGGCTTAGTGCATGGTCTGGCCCAGAACTTGAAGTATCCAACACTGTGTCCTTCAGTGTCTGGCTCACACTGGAGGGATCTGACCCTGTGGCACCATGATGCACATTTGGAGTTTACTTTTCATCGACACTGACAGGAGCTTGCTTGGGGACTTGAGCTGACAGCTTCTTCCACAGCGAGGGTGAGGGCCACCCATGTCAAGTCTGATCAAGTAAACTCTTTGGAGCTTCTCTCTTGGTCTTCCTTACCATCTCAAGGGTCATCTGTTCCCTGCATGTGAGAGGTGCCACCCCTATCTAGGCCTAGGCCACCCTCCCCACCACCATGTGCAAGGGACCAAGGATAGGGAGGGGTGGGGAAGAACCCCTTTGTGCCTGGCCGGGAATCTGAAAGCAGAAACCTCAGCTCAACTCACCTCAAGTGCATGCTTGGCCATGACCTGTTCCCCAGGTGCAGCCCCCTCACCTTTCAGGATGTTCCAAGTGAGGGGCTTGCCTTGGCTGCCTCTTTGCATGGCAAGCCCACCCCATGATGAAAGAAGGGAAGAATGTGGTTGCCTCCTCCAAACTGCTCCAACTGCTCAGACCTGGCAGGGGTGTGTGGGCACCTCACAACCCAGAGCCCCTGGGAGGAGGCTACAGTAGTCACCTTTGGTCACTGTGTTCTGGCCATCCACACCTAACACAGCACTCTCCAAACCTGTGAAAGGATGGCTCTTTGGAGAGGCCTGGGGGCATGAGGACATTTCCTGACCGAGGAGGGCAGAGCACCTGGGATACTGAGTCCTGTCCCTGTTTGTCACTGACCTGGGCCTCTATCTCGGTACCTCAGACACCTACTATCGGACTCTGGACCCTGGCCTGTGCTTCTAACCCCAGCCTGGATACCAGAGAAGCACCAGGGAGCAGGACCCCTGCCAGAGCATGGGGAGAAGCTTCAGACCTGGCCCTTCTGTCCTGGGGGCTGAGGACACTGCCCTTGAGACATGAGAGGCAGCAGGGACCTGGGAAGGAGTCAGCCCCATATACCTCTTCTCTACACTTAGGTTGCCCATGGGTCACACCATCCTGAGCTGACCTGGCTGTTCTGCCCAAGCCAGATGAAGGATTTTGAGGTGGGGAAGGGGTCTCCAGACATTTCTGATAGGCCGGAGGCAGAGAAGGCAGCGTGGGGCACAGCCAGGGCTCCTTCCCCTGTCTCCCTGAGTGGCCCTGCACAAGCCCTTCTTCCCAGGCTGTGCTGGAGCCTCTCCCCTTTTAACCTGTGGTTTAAATTGGAAACTAAGGTTTGGTCCAGTCCCTCCAGGTCCCTCCACATTGGCTTTACTGGCACTAGGAGACACCTAGAGCTGACAGGGTAGGGGGCAGCAAGGAAGGACCCACAGCAGCACTCTGAGTGGTCTCAGGGTAGCTTGGGACAACTGGTACAGGGCAGGCCCAGCAGCTGGGTTGAGGCCTGTGGTGACCTTATGCTCACTGCTGGTTGCAGGAGGGATTCAAAGGGTAGAAGTCAGGCCAGGGCCAGCCCCATGGGCACCTCTAACCCAAGAGGTCTGCAGGGAGGAATCCCAGGCCTGAGCCATAGGAACAGATACACCTCCCATATTGATGACTGGACCGCAGACTGTCCAGTTCTGAGCTGGTGGGGTTGGACCCTGATGAGCCTGGCTCTGGGGGGCCTCACTGCCTGGCTACACCCAGGCAGGGCATCATCAGGACTAAGGCCCTGGTGGCAGGAGGGTTACGGCCAGGGTGGGCTCTGGTGAGAGCTGATCCCCTCCTGGGCTCAGCTGCCCAGGACAGCTCAATGTCCGGCCCATATCTGGTGCACATCTGTGCAGACTTTGTCCAGGGATCACTATGGCTGGGGGTGGTGGTCAGGTCCCTGTGCGTGCATTGGCACCCACATGCCTCCCACAGGCACACTGCTTGCTGTGCTGTACTGGTGTGGGGGGCACAGGCCTACACAGTATCACTCAGCTCCTGTTGTTACTTCTCTGCTTCCTGCTGGCCAGGGTGGGGACCAGGTGGGCCCAGCTACTGCCCTAGACACCTGTGCTGCTGGTCTGAGCTTCTCAGGGCCTGCCCCACACATTCTCAGGCCTCACTGTCACCTGGCCTCTGGGCACTGCCTGTCCTCTGAGGAGCCCCAGTGACCTCAGAGCTTCGATGTTCCCAGAAGCCCTCAGAAGGATGTTCCTGAGCAGCCAGGACTCAGGGTGGGTCCTGGGCAGCATGTGACAGAGTCATGAGCTGCACAGACTCACTCCTGGGGATGTTCTCACAGCAGGTCTCCAGGATCCCATGTCCTCAGCAACCCTGTACCTTCCTCCCTCCCTAGATACCACACCTCTCCCTGGACTCCTTCCTGTGGTTTCCCTGTCATGGACTAGCTGAGGAGTCTCAGGCCCTTCCTGAGCTCAGGTCTGCCTCTAATAGCACCTTCATCCCCTTAGCCCTCCATAACCTGGCCCTCTGGGACTTGGCTTTAGTACCAGGATGCAGAAAGCCATACTGTGGGGGCCTTAGGTCCAGGCCACTGAGGTGACAGTGGGCCCCCAGGTAGGTGGGTATGACAGCTGTGGGTCCAGAGCACAGCTCTCAGCAGCGAGGTCCACAGGCACCAAGTCCAGCTCACTCTGCTGAGATCCACTGTGCTGGGCCAGGGTGAAGAAGCCTAACCCTAACTGTTCCCTAACCCTGCTGGAGAACAGTGTCCCTGTAGCCTGGAGACCTCACCCTGACCTCACCCTTGAGGCCACTGCTCAGGCCCAGCCCAGCTCTGACCTCTCAAACCTACTTCCTGGACCCCAGAGCAGGAAGTTCCACAAAGGCTATGGAACTGGAGCATGTGTGTGGAGAACATGTTGGGAGGTGGGAGAGGGGGTGCAGGAAGGACATGGGTGGTACAAGTGGACAGGGCAGCCATCCGGGCTAGGGCCCACTCCAAAGTCAGTGCCCATCTGAAATGGGCCAAATCCTCTTCCCAGGGATAGGGGCTTTGTTCATCTACTGTCCACCTTCCAAACTCCATGCTGCAGAGGCCTGTGATGCCTCAGGCCATGCAGCTCTGACCCTCACCTGCTCTCCTCCCCACCCATGCCTGGCCTGCTGGGGAGGGCAGGAGGCCAGCCAATCCCTGGGCCCTGGCCACACCCTGGGTTGGTATGACCTGGAGGGTATAAATACACCTGCCTGAAGTTGACAGCCTGAGAAACCATAGCAGCCTGCAACAGAGCTTGGGACTAGACCTAGTACATCCCCACACTGCTGAGGGTGTGCCTGCTAGGCTGGTGATACAAGACAGCTGCTGGACACTGGCCTGTGAACAGACACCTACCAGGTGGAGCGGAGAACGGGGCTGAGGAGAGAAATTACGCTTTTGGAGCTGCAGAGCCTAGAGGCTCAGAGCCCTTCTGTGGCTGGCAGAGAAGACCATGCCCAGGAGCCGCTGACCCTCAGCTGCCAGGTAAGTCCAGCCCTGCCTGTCTTACTTTTCACCTGCACAGGCTCAGGGTGGGGCACCTTAAGAGGGTGAGGCCTGGTGCCAGGGAACCGGTTCTGTGAGGGACAGGTGGGAGAAGACAATCCTGAGGTTCCCCCAGCCCTGCTAAGACCATTGCTGCCCCAAGTGGGGTGATATCACCTACCAGGAACCTGGGACCCCATGACATCACCATGATGTCACATGACTCACCTGGTCACAGGGACAATTTAGTAACCTGAGCCATTTCAGCCACCCACTTGGGACCAACCAGCAGGTGAGGGTCAGGCCAGGCACAGCTCAGGTCACTGAAGCTGTGGCATGGGCTCCGTGGGGTCCTGTGGACCTCTGAGGTGAAGGATGAGTCACCCCCTTACCTACCAGACCCCAGGCAGGATGTCTGTGGCCTCTCAGAGAGGGGCAGCAGGCAGGGCCAGGTGGACCCTGGAAGAGGAAGGTCCTGGATCCTGACATCCCCTTTCTCAGTGGCCAGCTGTGTGACCTCAACACTCAGGGACCAGGGCAAGTGGCTGAAACCTGCACCTCACTTCTCTGGCTATTGCTGAGGGGCATTTCTAATCCTTGGCCAAACCAGCAGCCTACTGGGATTCAAGTTCAAACCTCCCCTAACTTGGCTTGAAGACCCTAGCCACCCCACCCTCAGAGCTATCTTCTCCACACAGAGCTATGGGCCACCCCACACAGCCCAAGGGAAATAAGGGCATGGGCCACTGTTGACCAAGGCATCCACTGCACCATCAGCAAGAGCCCTAGGCCCATGGCTGTCATACCTATAGCCCTGCTGGGCTGTCTAGGTCTGGGTTACCAGTATGCCTGGTCCCACAGGAGAAGGTGGGTTACAGTGTGGGCAGAAGACCTCAGCACAGGCAGGAGGAGCTCAGGAGGTGCCCATAGAGGTACGGTGTCCTTCTTGATTTGTGGGGCTGATGCTGGGAAAAAGAGAAAGAGTGACAGGACCTCTGCTTGTCTTGCAGTTCAGACCCATGTCATCAGGCCCAGAAGTAGGGCACGTGGCTGTGCTGCCCCCTTGCCGGAGCAGCTCCACAGCATCCTCCGTGCCTGGGTCCTCCAGCTTGGCCAGTAGCCCCAAGTCCCCCTGCACCCCCAGCTTGGAGCGGGTGGCCTCGCCACTGGAGTGCTCCATCTGCTTCTCAGGCTATGACAACATCTTCAAGACACCGAAGGAGCTCTCCTGCACCCACATCTTCTGCCTAGAATGCCTGGCTCGGCTGGCAGCTGCCCAGCCCATAGGCCGCCCTGGCACAGAGGCTGTTCCCTGTCCATTCTGTCGGCAGCCCACCGCTGTACCAGCTGCTGGGGCCCCTGGGCTTCGTACCAGCCGCCAGTTGCAGGCCAAGCTGCCAGTGCACCTGCGGCGGGAGGAGCCAGTGTGGCTGGAGGGTACCAAGCTGTGCTGCCGCCCACCACTTACCATACCTGGCCAGGAGGCACCTGGTTTCCTGTGTGTGGAGGTAGGCCTAAGCAAGCCTGCTGAGTCCATACCTCCAGTGCCTGTCCCGGACCCTGCCCCACGCCGGGGCTGCCTGGCCCGCTTGGCCCGCTGCTGGGAACGATGTGCAGATTGGCGGCGCCTGGCACTGGTCTCAGTGCTGCTACTGGTGCTTTTCTGCGTGGTACTGTGGCCAGTGCAGTGTGCCCTCAAGACTGGAAATCTGCGCTGCCTGCCCCAGCAGCATGTAGCCACTGCCACCACTGCTGCCACTGGCCTCTCCCTCCAGCCTCTAGCCAACAACTAGGGTCACCAGGTGTACGTGACCAGGGAGTAGAGGTGGCCAGACCTACGCTCCCACCTCCAAGCCTTGGAGGTCACAGCCATGACTACCACTAGCTGTCAGCCCCAGGACTCCAGTGAAGACTGGATTCTGATAGGGTGGACAAAGGTCCCACAAAGGGTCCCAGAACCACATCTCCTGTAGGCCAGAAACATCCCTGCTAGTAAGCTGTTGGCGAAGGGGCCCAGGAGATGCCCGGTGCTGCCCTAGACCTCCCCAGACACTGTGAATTGCCCAGAAGAGGAGCTGGCTATCCCCTCCCTCCATGCTGAAATTTCACCAAGGTCTTCCCTGAACCCTCTCTAGGCAAGGGAGAGGCAGGACAGCCCCATGCCAGTCCAGCAGAAATCCCCAGCAGTCCCTCCTGCCCTTGTAAAGAACATTTTTAAATAAACTATTTTGTGTCTATGTTTGGTGGATGTTCTCACCCTGCATGCTCCCTTCCCTGGGCACCTCAGTCCCTCCCTTTCTAAAGCCCCCCCATCCCACCCAGCCTCTGTCCAAGGCACACCACTAGATCACTGTGGGGACAGAGGATCTGGGAGGCCACTCCACCCCATGGATTTGGACAGGCAGTGCACTTCTGGACTCGGCTGGCACCCAGCACAGTGAGGCTCCCCCAGAGACAGACAAGCTCCAGCCCCAGGTCAGAGCAGAGAGGACGAAGGTGGAGCCTGAGACTAGGCCAGAACCAAGTGTCTCTGACAGATCCCTTCTCTTCTCCCATCATGGCCATCCTGGACACACCCCCGAAGAAATTATGGCCCCATGACCCACCCGAGCCTGATTACAGAGCCACAGAACCCATGAACTCCATGAGAACTGAGGCCTGAAGGTCCCCAAGGCAGAGATGGTAAGACCAGGGCCTCAGATCTCCCGACCCACCCTGGTGCTGAAGTGGCATGGCAGTGTCACAAGGTCACAAGGGCTGGGCATCTTACTACGCCCCACCCCTCTTCTGCATCAGCCCCAGGAATCCTGTACCACCAGGCAGGCATGGCCAAGAAAGCGGGGCTGTTTCAGCTCAGGCAGGTCTTAGTCTCCTCACCTCTGACCCCAAGGTAATTCCTGTTCCAACCAGGTGGGCCCTTGACAGGCAGGGAGGGAGCTCAGGGAAATGCTGGCCAAGTGGGGTCTCCCTTTTGGGACAGGGACCCCCATAGGTCATTTGCCCAGGCCACAGTGAAGACAGAACTGAAAACAGTGCTTTACTGGAGATGTCACCTGAGATGGGCAGTCAGTGCCTCTGCACCGCAGGGCTGTGACACCATACCCTGTCACCAGTCATGCACACATGAGCTGCATCCTCATCACCAGGAGGGCCGGGCTTAGGGTCACATGGGCATGCCCTAGCACATAACTGTATTCTGCAGCCTTGTCCACATGTGACAGTGACAGGGCCCCTCACATCCTGGGGACCTGAGCCAACACTGCCAGACAGGTCAGGTGCTGAGCGTGTCACATCACACACAAGCCCACTCATGGGGGCTGGATCTGTGGCACACACAAGGTTCACCGGTGTCACTGGCCACCTCAGACCTCGGAGAGGAAACCTAGGACACCCAGAATGGGGCAGGTTAAGAAGTCTGAGGTGTGCCCTGAGGCCCAAACCGCCTTCCCACCGCTAGGGCCCTAAAACTATGCCTTGAGGGTCTCCCAGTCTGTCTGCCCTACACCTGAGGGTTGCCTGGTCTCCCCGAGGGCCACCTAACGTAGCGGGCTGCCAGGAAATGAGGGTCTGGGCTGTGGCTAGGTTCTGTGGGCTCAGCCCTGGGGTTCAAATACACAGGCTCCTGGTGGGGAAATTCTTGCAGGGGAAGGGACGGGAGATCACCATGGTGAGGTGTGCAAAGCCCCGCCCAGCCTGCAGGCACAACTGCTCGCCTTGCAGGAACAACGGCAGAGCCAGGTTCACGAATTGGTACGGCGCCTCGTCTGCACCTTCCTGAGCGCGGCCGCGCCGCCTGGTCGATCGCCTTTGGGTAGTCTAGCCCTTAGGGACCAGAACGCTCAGAGCCGCGGGCAGGCAGGGGCGGGGTCAATGGGCGGGGCCAGACGGGGCGGGGCCAGCTAGGGAGGATGGGGCCAGGCGGGGCGAGTAGGGCAGGGCGGGGCCAGACCCACGGAGGGTGGGGTTGGAGAGCGAGGCCAAACACGTGGGCGTGATCTCCGGGAGGGCGGGGATGGTCACATAGTGAGGACAAACCAGGTGATCAGCTGGCGAGTTCACTGGGAGAGACCCAGGCTCCTCCCTTACCCGGTCCGGAGGTCCCGCCTCGGCTTGCGTCGCTCCTGTGCCCAGCCAGCACTTTCAGTGGGCCACCACCACTCCCGAGAGCCTGCAGGTTGGGTAGGGGCCAGGAGGGTCAAAGAGCGCTGCTGCCCCCACCCTCGGAGAGGCCAGGAGGATGGGCCCAGGCCATAAGGGGGTGGGGACGAGGGTCAGATGTCTGGGAAGGGAAGAGGGAGCTGGGGGCTGAGCTCTGTTTGAGCAGAGCTGCCCTGAGGGGGTCCAAGGGGCCCACAGGATCCTCCCACCACAGAGGCTGACTTGTAAGGAGGGGAATCTGCCTGAGCCAGAAATAGGCGCCACTGGCCTACCGAGGAGATGGAGCTGCTGTCCTGGACCAGGGAGATGCGTGGGAGACACCCTGCAGGGCAGAAAGTCTGAGGCTACCCTGGGGCCATGGCTGGGGCGTTGGCTTGAGGCTTGAGAACCTGGCCGGCCTCCTGAACACTGCCCAGAGGCGGGGCTTGCACTGTCTGCTAGATTAAGAGACAGGGAAGCCATCAAAGGCAGTGGAGCTAGAGAAGTCAGGTTTGGGGGTCTCAGCTCAGCTCCCCCCCCCAGGCATTCTGATCACACTGACCCTTTGCCCACAACTCATCTGCAGCTCCCATGCGTGGTAGATCTGCACCAATGCTCAGCTGTTTTGCTGTCCTACAGCTTTGGCAGGTACAATAACACTTGTGGAAGTCAGTGCTTTTCATCAGCCTGTCTAGCAGACCAGCAACACCCTTGACCTATGCTCTTTAAGAACACACGGGCCTTTTGGGTCACCTTCTTCCCGTGTCTGCAGCTCCTGTTCTAGTCAGGAAGGGCTGTTTCCAGCTTAGCCAGCTGCAACACAAGGGGGACTCAGAGGACTCCAGCCCAGCCTCTCTCCACCTCTCTGGTGGTGATGATCCTAGTGTGTTTGCTGTGCTCCATGGCCCAGAAGATGGCCATTCTTGTCTTCAGACATAGTGGGAATGGATGCTTTACCTACTCCACAGCCTAGCTTCTCTGGGCCACTCTGAAAGAGGTGAGTGTTGAGCACCTGCTGCTTATAGGGCTGAAGGTCCAGAGGACAGGCCTGTGCAAAGGGGCATGGTGAATGGTGGCTCCCACACAGTTCCTGGAGGCTAGCAAGGGGCTCAGGACCAGTGTTCAGGCAGGGTGCTTCAGTGACCCCTCTGCACCACTGCTACCTCACCAGCCTTCAGTCCTGTCAAGGTGCACACTTTCCTTGTATCCCGTAGGACCTGCTGGCAGGAGCTCCAGGCTATTAGGGGGCCACATGTGTGATCCAGGCCAGCTACATGAGCTATAGGCCATGTACACTTGCCTCCTTGACACACCAACTCTCTCCTGTGGTTGGCTTCATGCATGCTGTCTTCCATGCTGTGCAGTCTTGAGTCTCAAAAGAGGCAGGAATCTCAAGGACCATCCTGCCTTCTTGCCCCAGACCCTGCAGTGAGCAGAGGTAGGAGAAGGCCTGAGGAGCCTGGGCATTTGAGAGAAATCTCATCAGATTGCTATTAGCAGGTGCTAGTGGCAGGTGCTCAGAACCCCTGCGGGATGGCATGTGAGGGAGCTCTGGGCCTCACCTCCTAGGGTAGGATATTCTTGTACCTGTTCTTGAGCTTGTTCTCTAACTGCTATGCCTCTTGAGGGGTACAGGAGCTGGCATTTCTTGGGGAACAGAACTTTGGCAGGGGCCCTGCCCCTCTCCAGAGCTCAATGCCCAGCTCTTTTCCCCTGACCCAGCCAAGAGGACAAGCCTGGGTGATGACCAGGGTATCCCTTAAACCCTGCTTGACCTCTCTGCTGGTGCCTGTGGCCAGGAGAACTCCAACATGCATTCTCAGTGCTGGAGGCTAACCCTCATGGCCATGAGGGACCAGCAGTAACAGCCCACAGCCCAGGGTGGCTGCCTTGCCCTCTTCCACTCAGGCTTCTGCTCTGAACCTAGTGCCCTCACCTCTGGCCACCCAGCTCCCCTCTTCCGGAGGGGCAGTGCAACATCCTCATGAGCTCCTATGGGGAGAAGCCACTTGGGGCCCAGGGCTCTTGTGGATGCACACCTGCTAAAGGGGACAGGGCTCCTACTCCTACACCCTGGGGCTCTTCTGAAGTGTTCCACAGGGTCTGGGAGGTGAACTACTCCCCACCTCCCACTTTGTATTTCCTGTCTGGCTGTGGGGTGGCAGTAGGGTCTGGCTTTGAAGCCTGCCCTTCCCAGAGCCACAGCCCACCCATGCACCTCTTGCATGGCAGCAGATCATGAAGTGCCTGTGCCTTGCTGGGCTCCTAGGTCAGCACTGGGAGAACAGAGCCTCGGGGCTGCTTGATCTCTCCATACCAGGGAAGCTGCCGAGTTGTCCTCAGCTTGCCTTCAAGACCTGACCTGGCACACAGAAAGTGGACAAAGATCCACAGGAAGCAGACACCTGACGGAACACACACAGACCTTAGCTCTTGGAGGCCACCCAAGCAACAGGCTCCTGGGGTGGGACAGGCACTTTATTTATGGCCACCAGGTGGCAGCATGATCCTCAGCAAGAAGGAGTAGGGCAGTCTCAGGCAGATACAGTTCCCTGCAGCAGGGAAACCAAAGATGAAGGAGCAAGTGGGGCAGAGGTGGAACCAGGGCAGGACCTGCCCTTTGAACTCTCAACCCTGCCACTGGGGCCTCAGGCTTGGAGGAAATAAGGCCAGTGTCAGGGAAGGGAGCTGCAGACATTCCTGAGCTAGGAAGTGTTGTCCCTAGGCTTTGCCCTGCAGATTCCACACTCATCCTCAGAGACAGACATGGATGCAGACACACAAACGTACATGCACACATATAGACAGACACATAAGCCTGCCCCAGGCTCCAATATGGGATCCCGGCAACCCAGAGAGGGTGCTGTAACTCTACCTGGCCTGCTGCAGCGGGTCTCAGAGCAGCCTGTGTGATGCTGCACTGTCCCTCAACACAGGCGGTGGTAGGAACTGGTGCCCTGGATCTCGTCGCACCTGGGAAGGCAGGGGTGCCAGCTGCCATTGGGGTTGCCAGGCTCCACGGTCTCTCTTCACATGGTACCCTCAGCTTCCAGAACAGTAAGGGTTTCTCCTGCACAGAGGTCTGGGGCCTGCCATTCAACTGCCAGCAAACTTAGGGACAAGATCAAGCCCTTCCCAGACCAGGACTGGCATTGGGACCGCAGGCCACCTCTCCCTTGATTCTGCCTCCCCTAGACCCCTGTCCAGGAACCCACTGCCCGGGTCAGGCCCTGCCACCCACAGGTGTGCCCTTAGACAGTGTGGCTGGGTAGTTCTGGGAAGGAACTTCGGCCTTCCCAGGATAAGGCCTGTCCATTCCATAAGCATCCTTAGCCCTGCTTGCCACCTTGGGCTTAGGAGATGACCAGGCAGATCTAGGCCCTGTTGGAGCCTCTTCCCAGCTGCCCTCATGCTCACAGAAGACTTTCCATGTCCAGGGGAGACCTGGGGTCACTGTCTATTGGTCTCCAATCCCTTTCTTGACACACAATCCCCTTCCAAGGGCTCCAGCCAGACCCCCAGTGGACAGCATCCCCAGGAGCTGAGGCGCACTGCCCCTCCCCCAGGTCCCTGAGGAAAGGTGGGCCCATGGCTGCCCTCATCCTGTTGAGCTCTCCCAAGGCCTCATGAGTGGCTCCCAGAGGCCACTATGCCCCCCACAGGACCAAGTCCTCTGGCACCTAGTCCTCCCCTGGGTCTTCCTACCCTGGATGCCACCCTGAAGGCCCCCAGACAAATGTTGGGGTGAGGTCATCAGGAAGGACAGCCTTGGCCCCACACCCACCCTGTCCCTGTTGTAGCAGCAATGACCACAGCTCTAAAGCTCCACGAGGCCGAGGCAGGGACTGTGGAGTCCTGAGGCAGGGGAGGGGGTGGCCCCTAGTACATCCACTGAAACCACCAAGTGTCCCCTGCAAGGTGTCTGCTTTTTGAAGCAGGCCTGGACACTGCCTGGTGCTGGCCCTGTGCAGCCCCCCAGCCTGACCTCAGCCTCAGCTTCCACCTCTGTGGGAATAAGAATTCTTCCAGTGGTCCTGGTAACTTGTTAGACTGGCCTGTTGACCAATGCAGGGCCCAGCTTGCCAGCACCTTTCCATGGTATTTATCAACTCACTGACATGTATTTCACTTATCAGTTTTCTGCCTCCCACCCCAGAATATAAGCTTCTTGACACCAGAGACTGTACCTGGGGAACAATAAATACATATATTTAATAGTGTATTTGAATTCACTGATTTGGTTTGAATTAGTGAATAACTAAAGTTGGGTTTGGTAGTACACACCTGTAATCCTAGCAAGATGATTACAAATTTGAGGCCAGCCCAGCCAACTTAGCAAGACCCTGTCTCAAAATAAAAAATCAAAATGGACACCCCATGGTAGAACCCTGCTGGTAGTATTAGATCACTCCTCAGTGGTACAGCAATCTCCAGTACTGTTTAAAAAGAAAAGTGAATGGTTCAGGAATGGATGTGGGTGACTGGTAGATGGGTGTAGGCAGGCAGGTCACTGCTTTGCTGACAGCTGGTGAGGAGGAGAGCTGCCCCCCACAGGCCTCGCCCAGCCTACCCTCCTGGGACAGACCTATCTGCACCTGCCCAGGACAAAGCCCAGGCTCCCAGGAGGGAGCAGGCTGCACAAAAGCCCACCCCTGAAATCCTACCTGCTCTTTAAGTGACTTTGTTTCAGCCTGTTTCCCTTTCAGGGTGGGGGTTTCTGGGCTCAAGAAGTAATTGCTGTCATGTGGTTGACCCAGAACCTCTGGGAATGTCAGCAAAAAGAGAACCACAAAGCCAAGTGTGGTGGCACATGCCTATAATTCAAGAAAGCTGAGGCAGGAGGCTCTCAAATTTGAGTCCAGTCTGGGCAATTTAGTAAGACCAAGGGCTGGGGATGTAGCATAATTCAAAGGCCCTGGGTCTGATCTCTAGTATTGGAGAGAGACAGAGACACAAGGGGAAGGAGAAAGGGCAGGGATGGGGGGAGGGAGGGAGAGGGAGGGGGAGAGGGAGGACAGGAGAGAGGGTGCGTGAACAAGAGGGCTGAAGAGTGGGTGCCCTCACCTTTCCTTCAGCAGTCACCTCCCTCCACAGCAACTCTGTCCCTGTGGGAGGCTCTGGGACACCTTGTCCTGAGTTGCCTCCCACAGACAGCATGGGCAGTTGTGCCCAGGGCCCCATAGAGGAATAAACAGGGTACCCATGCTGAGGCCCCCAATAGGGCTGCCTGCCATTCAGGTGGGCTCTGTGCCACCCCATGGGACCCCACAGTACTAGCTCCCAGCCCCTCCCCAGGGAAGCTACTGGTTTCTCTGGAAATGAAATCAGGTCATCCTGTTAAAGAGCTCATGGCATCTACAGCCAGACCCCCACCTGTAACTTTGCCAGGCTCTCTGCTCCCACTGAGCCGTACCCCTCAAAGGACTTGCATCCAGCACCTAGGCTGAGTTGTCTAAGTAATAAAAATGACACCTCAGGGTCCACTGAGCAGCCAGGTGAGGCAAAGATGACACAGGGTAGGTGGGGACACCCTGGCACAGCCCCCTGGCCATGCTGGTCACCCTTTCACTTGCCTCCCCCAGTTGTGCTGAACCTGCAGCCGCCCACCCTGCTCCCACAGCTGCGCTCCCCCCACCTGGCACCTCCTGTACTGGGCACTGGAACATGCGGCTCTTGGTGGAGGGTCCTTACATCCACTGCGTCCATCTCAAGGACTGACCATTTCCAGCCGGTGTGTTGTTTCCAACCTTTTCTGAAGCCAATGATACTCTGGCCTCTGCCTGACCTCCCAGTTCCTGCCATGAAGAATCAACTATGTGCACTCTTGTGGGCCCTCTCCACCCCATCCCTGCCTGAGCAGGTGCTCAGCACCCTGAAAGAGCAAGGAAATGAGGAAGGAATAATACAGCAAATGCCACAGAAGTACAGAGTCTCTGGGTCTGGGATTTCAGGGTTTTCTTTGCTTTCCTTTGGAGAGGATTCTTTCGTTAACATCAAGAAACACACACACACACACACACACACACACACACACACACACACACAC